AACACGAAAGGGATAAAGGTGGATCCGGCTAAGATTGATGCAGTTATGAACTGGGAATCACCAAAGTCAGTATCGAAGATCTGAAGTTTTTTAGGACAAAGAAATCGGTTAAGTTTGATTGGGGAATGAAACAAGAAGAAGCATTTCAGACACTTAAGGAGAGACTAAGCACTGCACCGGTTTTATCACTACCAGAAGGAATAGAAGATTTTATCGTTTATAGCGATGCATCAAAAATGGGTTTGGGTTGTGTACTAATGCAGCGAGGCAAGGTTATTGCATATGTGTCATGTCAGTTGAAAGAACACGAGAGGAAATACCCAACTCACGACATGGAATTAGCAGCTGTAGTCTTCGCGCTAAAAATCTGGAGACACTATTTGTACGGTAAGAAGTGCATGATCTATACTGATCATAAGAGCCTTAAGTACTTGTTTGATCAAAAGGAGATAAATATGAGACAAAGGAGATGGATGGAACTACTTAAGAATCATGATTGTGAGATTCACTATCATCCAGGTAAGGCAAATGTAGTTGCCGATGCACTTAGTAGGAAGGAGAGAAACGGACTAATCAGGGTTCGAGCCATGTGGATGAGTGTTAAAGTGGAGTTGCTAGACCGAATTCAGGATGTTCAGAAAGAAGCTTTACTGGTAACGAATATTAAAAAGGAGAGAATGGTTGGACAAATTAAGACTTTGACGGCCGGACCAGATGGAATATATAGACACGGGAATCGAGTTTATATTCCTAGTTTGGGGGACTTAAGAAATGTAGTGATGGATGAAGCACATAAGTCCAAATATACTATGCATCCAGGTAGTAATAAGATGTACAAAAATATAAAAGAGAGCTATTGGTGGCCTGGAAAAGGGCAGTAGCTAGCTATGTAGGGAAATGCTTGACATGCTTGAAAGTGAAGACATAACATCAAAAGCCGTCTGGAATGTTGCAACAAATGGAGATCCCAGTATGGAAGTGGGATATGATAACGATGGATTTTGTCACCAAACTTCCAAGGACGGTAAAGGGACACGATGCCATATGGGTAATTGTGGATCGACTAACGAAATCTGCTCACTTCTTACCGATCAACGACAAGTATACATTAGAAAGATTCGCCCAACTTTACGTCAATGAGATCGTGTCAAGACATGGTGTATCGATATCCATTGTCTCAGATAGAGATGCTAGGTTTACCTCGAGGTTTTGGTCAAGTTTTCAACAAGAAATGGGGACACGGCTGAACATGAGTACTGCATATCATCCTCAAACTGATGGCCAAAGTGAGAGGACGATACAAATGCTAGAGGATATGTTGAGAGCTTGTGTGATTGACTTTGGAGGTAGTTGGGACAACCACCTCCCGTTGATAGAATTTTCTTATAACAATAGTTACCACTCGAGCATCAAGGCGGCACCATTTGAAGCATTGTATGGCCGCAAGTGTAGAACCCCAATTTGTTGGGCAGACATTGGAGAGAGACAACTAGCTGGACCCAAATTAGTCCAACAGACATCTGATAAAATAGTACAGATCAGGGAGAGGTTAAAGGTTGCCCAAGATAGACAAAAGAGTTATGCGGATAGGAGGTGTCGACCTTTGGAATTTCAAGTAGGTGATAAGGTCTTGTTGAAAATATCGCCATGGAAAGGGGTCGTAAGATTTGGAAAGAAGGAGTATATCAGACCATTTGAGATAACCTCAAGAGTAGGAGCAGTTGCTTATCGGTTGAAACTGCCAAAGGAGTTAGGTGGTATTCATGATACCTTTCATGTGTCGAACTTGAGGAAATGTTTAGCTGACGAATCAACTGTTATGGATTTGGAAGACATCGAGGTTAACGACAAACTCGCTTATGTGGAAGAGCCAGTTGATATATTGGATAAAAAGAYGAAAATRMTAAGAAACAAAAGTATACCACTGGTATTAGTTAAGTATGACATGGGAACCGGAAGAAGAGATGAAAGCTAAATATCATCAATTGTTTTAGCGAGTATTAATTCTGAGGACGGAATTTCTTGAAGGAGGGAAGAGTTGTAAAACCCAAAAATTTCGAGTAATAAATAATTTATCTTCATTATTATTATTTTCATTTTTTTTATTATAAAACACACATACACGTACTTATATATATATATATATATATATGTATGTTAAATAAATAAGGAAATTAAAAGAATTTTCAAAATCGGATTAAAGGTGAAAGAAAAAGTCAAGATATGGGTGAAAATTATAAATTCGTGATAGTTAAGGGGTTGGGTCAGACGTAAACAAGTCCAAACCTGAAGGACCTATTTTGTAAATACACCATATTTCAAATTTTTCAAAAATTTGAAAAGGAAAATTCATTTGAAGCTTTCTATTGGTCTGAATTTTCAACTATTACGACAAAAAAAATACATATACATGTAGACAACACTTTTCTCTACACTTTTGCTTTAAGAAAACCGAACTTTCATCGAGTTTCGAAAGAGAAATCGAAGGTTGAAGTTCGGGTTCAAAAAGCTCCGTCTATTGACGATTGGAGGTAAAATTCTCAACCAAATTTCGAGTTCTTCATATGGATGGCTTCGTTTTTAGGTCCTCTATGAAACCTTAGTAGCCTTATGTCTCAAATTTGAGTTTTGAATGTTCGATTTTGAGTTTTTTACTGATTTTCGAGTAGTTTTAAGACCTTAACTTTAAATGAGCACATAAGACTCATTACTTGATGGTTTTCGTTGATTTTTGTTTCTATGGCTGAGGAAAATCATTTTCTAGAGATTTTGCAAAAAGAATCATCGAAAACGATGAAGAAACGAGGCCAAACGACCTGTTTTTTCGGCTGTCGACGTGATCGTTGCATCTGTTTAGTGTGGTTGATTGTTGGTATGTTGGGCCATGATTTTTGTTGGGCTTTCTCTTTTATTTCATTGATGTTGTGCCATAGATGCTTATTTGAGTATATTTTAGGCCCTTAATTCTTAGGGCTTAATTTGGGTACTTAAGGTATATGATTTTGTGAATTGATCCCAACTAATAAATTTCAGATTTAATTAATTAATTTATATTAACTAATTAATTTAATTTCTAAATTAGTTAATATATTAAACTGAATTAGTATTTAATTATTATATTTATTTATTTATTTATTTTTTGAATATTAGAATTAGTTAATTATTTATTTTCTAAGGAGGATGCTTATATAGATCATTAAATTATTTTGATGATTTAAGCGTCGTAATTTGAGTAAAGTAATTATTGTGATGTTTTAATTTAGAGAGATGAGATTATATGATACTAAAACGTTTTTTTTTGGATGCAATCGAGTTTTAGACTTGGGGCTTGACTAATGTTTGTCAGGGTTGACCTAGATGACCAAGGGTTGACCTTTGGCACGTTTGACCCATGTGGATATTAATGATGGGTCAAATAGAGTTGTTTGAGGCATATTACGATGCTCGGATACGAAGTTTGAGTTTAGGTTGGGTCAGAATGACAATAGTTGACTTTTTGAGAAATTAAAACGTTAATGAGATGTTATGGTATGAAATGTGTAGGCATTTGGTCAAGAGCGATCGGTAGTCAATCTATACGCAATCAGGTGAGTCTTCATGAGATTTCACTGGGATGCATACCTAARTACAAATTTATTTTTGCATGATATGAATTGTTGATGATGTGTACGTATGYWTGATATTTYAACTACATACATGTTWTGATATATTTTACATGTATGTTATTTTGTGAATGGTTATATGCTATGTGTTTAATCAGTTTTCGAATAACTCTAGCATGTTATTCCATATTAAAGTTTTATGATTCAAGGGTGGGCATTTGACCAGTAAGTCACGACCAGTATAAAACACGACCCGGATAAGTGGGTGATCAATTAAGATTGACATATCAACCCAGGGCGTGTTTGTGACTAAATGACCCATACCCGACTAAACATTATATGAGATCTCTTATTTGTAGTGTTTTAAATATATATTTTATTAAAGTTGTGACTTTTATTATAAAGCATGCATATATGCCATATATATATGTCAAGATATKATTTYATTCAYGYAAACCATGAACTCACTGAGCTTTATAAGCTGACTATAGTATGCATCTCAGGGCCAGGTAGTTCGAGGTTGGATAAGGGCAAAGGACACGCTTAGAGAGTTGCTAATTATCATTTTATTTTTAGTCTTTTGTCTAGCAGTATTGTGTCAATCTTTTGTAACTTAACCTGGTATGAGGTGGGTTAGAACTTAAGTTAATTTTTGGTTGATTCAAAGACTTCCGCTGTAAACGGTTTAAAGAGTTTTATTTTAGCCATCTTTTGGAGTATTTATTTAGGAATTTGTTTCAGATTACGTAACATTCTAAAAAAAAAAATGAGGGTGTTACATTCTTCTTCCACCTTTCTTCAGCGTTGGCTTTTTGAGGGACTGCGACATACCTGGACACCTTCTTGATCAGCTCGCTAATGATGTCTTCGATAATCGGCTTATGTCTGCACTTTGAGTGCTGAATGGCTTTCTCGGATCTCCAGCCATTCGCTGTAGCCATATTCGCCAAGGTAGTAAGGGTACTCGGTGACTGCCTCGAGATTATCCCTGGTGATGAGCATGGAAATCAGCAACCCACCGTCTTTTGTTCGTCCGCTGATGCTGACGCTTGTAATCGGATGAGGGCTGATCCTCTTGTTAAGGCTTGCTTCACTCCAGCGTTTGTCGCGTTTGGCCAGCTTCAGGTTCTTTTCACATTCAGCCTCTGCAATAGACAGAAGCTTAGCTTGGGCTTGGACAGCGTTCACCGGCTTTTTGGATTTTCTCTTGGGAAGAAATTTTACGGCTAGAGACTTGGCCAACTTTAAGATGTTCTTATTCTATTTCTTTTGAAGTGCAAGTTCTTCCTCGGCCTTGAGAGTCTCGAGTCTTTCAGCTTCGGTCAGGAAGTCAAACTTACCACAACTAGAGCTAAGAAGATGAATTTTTACTTTAGTTTGGCCGAGTGACTCCCTGAGCTAAGTCATCTGCTGGTCAGTAGGAGTGCTAGGGGTTGGGTTCTTAGGGACCCATTCCTCTAGCTAACCGCAGGTAGTCAATGGAATAGAAAGTTGGTACATGGAGGTGATGGTTATTTGGCTTGAGGACTCATCATACAAGGGTTCAAGGTGTTTGAAAAGTACCTTGAGGTTCCCTTCTTCAGTGACACCGTTTCCTTTCGACTTGGGTCCTTGGTGCATTTCTTGAGCAGCCTCATCTTCCCTTTTCTCCCCCTGGGATGTTGAATCCCTAAGGGCAACACCTTTAGTGGCAGCAGGACGCTGGTACTGGATGGTGAAGTCATCTTCATCGTCATCTTCGTCGTCGTCGTCATCCAGGTCGCTGTCGGAGTCAGGGAGGTCGGGCGATTCGCCTTCTTCTTCATCATCATCATTGTCTTTTTTCTCAACACCAACATTAGCTGCAGAGGTGATGGGAAGGTCATCGTCACGAGCTTCAGCTTCAGCTCGGACGACATCAACTTCCTAAGTTTCAGAAGCTTCACAAGAGGTTGGGATTTCATTGACAACTTTAGCGTCAGCTTCAGCTCTAGGAGCTTCAGCTTCATCTCTAGGAGCTTCAGCTTCAGCTTCATCAGTTGCTGGAGCGGCAGGTACAGGGGCGGTAGTAGCAGTAGATGGTCCAACGTCAAACCTTATCTCCCCATCTTTGGTGATGGCTCTAAAGCAATAGCCATAGAGTTGGTCGACACTTTGGATTTGTAGGACCATCATCTCCTCTAACCGCGTCAAAGCACTGGCTAGGCTAATCGTCGCTTCACGTGATTCATTAAGCTGAGCATGGTCATCATCAGTAAAAGAAGGAGAAGGCACTGGAACTGTGTGACAGAGAGCAACCAAAACTTGTTGCAGCAGCTCTGCTTGCTGGACATATTGGGTGTGTGCTTCATCTGCCTTGCTCGTAAGAGCAGCGATGGCCTCAGCATCGGCTTGAACAGCCATTTGAAGAGAGGAGAGCTGGCCTTTGACTTCTTAGACTTCAGCCTTGATGGCTGAGAGATCAGCAGCGACTTCGTCCCTGCGAAACATGTTCTTATGGACTTCATCCATCTTGATGAGGACAGTCTCAACTACTGGGAGGAGAAGCTTCACGTCTGTCACCATATCATATTCTTCCTCATCCATGGCTTGCGTTTCAGAAGGACCTGAAAAGGAAGAAGAGTGAGCATAAAGAAGCTCGAGGTTAGAAGAATTGAATGGATAGGAAGATGGAGTACCTAAGGGGTCTTCAGCATTATCTGAAGGATTAACGTTGGTTGGTTCCATGGTGCACTTGAAAGGATGAGCACAGTATGCTGAGGAGCTTTGAAAGGAGCTACCTTAGGTCCAGTGGTGGGTCTCTCATCATCAGGGAGGACTAGCATAGATGATTCATGGACACGTGTTGAGACCAATGAAGGAGTGGTGGAAAAGATGGCTGAGATGGTTGGTAGTGAGTGTTCAGCGGTGGCAGTGCTGATATTCACACCTTCAGTGATTTGGTTCACTGAGGTGGTTGGGTGAGGAGGCACTTGTACGACAATGATCCCAGATATCACTGAAGAACTAGGATGGTTGACTGAAATTTCCTCGGGGTTAAGGCTTCTTTCAATAGCTGAGACCTTTTAAGAGGTCACAGCCAGAGATAAGGTAGTCCCCTTTTTGGCCTTCTTGGTCCTCGAAGGACAACCAAGAGTTGGTTGAGATGGGCGTTTCGTAGAGAGGGTTGTGGTGGTTGGGTTAGACTTAGGGGGGGGGGAGGGGTTTCCCTTGTCTTTACCACCTGGGAAGGAGAAGGAGGAATTGAAGAGTATTGCACCACTGAAGATAGTGCAATATCTCCATCCCTGAGCTTGTGATCCAGAATTTTGGATCCAAGCCTGCAGACAGGAAGATTACCTTCCTTGGAGTATTTTTCGCCAAAGATCTTGGCGAAAACCATAGACAAAAAGTGGGTGTAGGGAACCACTTTCTCCCTCTGACGCTTGTTCAGCTTGAGTGCCAGGTCGTCGAAGATGACAACGGCAAAGTTGATCGGTTGGTGACGGATCACTGAGACGCCGATGGTGAGAGCAACCCTGGATGCTTGATCCTGGATGCCAGTCTTTCCACCCATTCTCTAGATGAAGTGAGAAAACATGAATTGCCATACCGCAAACATGCGGTTCTTCTCCATCTTGGACAGAGACTTGAGGGGCTCGCTGGACTCCTTCTTCATTGGCAATTGGTAGCCAAGGTCATCGAGGCAGACGATGAATTATTTAGTAGTAGGGTCGTTGGCGAATGGACCCTTTGGGAAGCAAAGAGCGTGCCTGAGAGTGGTCACGCCAAATCTTACAGTCATCCTATTGAAGGTGTAGGAGATTTTCTCCACCTGATGACCATTCTTGTTCTCTTCTTGCACCACCTTGGTAGTCATCCAGAACTGGGGACATCCTAAGGAATACGGCAGCGTCCTCATAGATTGTTTTGTTTGTGGGGATATCTAACAAGGCAATGTGATTGTTGGCCTTGAAGGAAACATCTTTCACAGAGAAGTTCACATTCTTCGCAGCCATTTCTATTTTTGTTAAGAGATAAGAAAAGAAAACAGTTTATATTAGTAGTCCAAGATTTGTTTGTGATCTTTTTAAGTTTTAGAACAATAAAACTTCTTTTGAAAAATCCATAAATAATATATTAGGGTTTTTCAAGTAGAATAGTGTTTATGAAACTTTTAGATTATAACTACGAGAGAGAATGAGTTATTAATCTTTTTGTTTGTGTTTTAATATAACAAGGTTCGTAAAATGTCAAACAACAGTTTCATAAGAAAAAGAAGAACAGTTCAAAGTTTAAAGAAACTTATCGACCTTAGAGTTTTTGAGAAGGTCGAAGGATTCGAGTGTTCTTGAGAGTTCTTTGCTTGCAATTTCTTTTTGGCAGAGGTTCATCAAAAGAGTTTGAAAGCGTAAAGAAAATATGAGTGAAGAGATCTCATATTTATAGGTAGAAGAAAGAAAAGAAATAGGAGAGAGGAAAATACGACTGTTGAGGAAATGCCATGATAAGAAATATGGCGCGTTCTCATCCATGATTGGATGGAAGTTATAGCAGGTCCCGTGTGTCAAACCTTTTTGCGCGTCTTAAAGTGATTCGTATTGGTAACAGAGAATGTCGTCATTAAGACGGTTCATTAACTATTTCTTTTAAAACAAAAAGGTTTTAAGAAATTTCAAGAGTCACATTCAGTGATAGGAGAATCACTGAATAAAAACCTTTTAAAACATTTGATCACTGAAGAAGAAAAGCATCAGTGATGGTTTGTTTTAAGAAATGAAAAATATCTTAGAAGAATATATTTTCATAAAAAGTATTAGTGATAAGAGAATCAATGAAACTATCTTTTTAAAAACATTTGAATCATTAAAGGTAGAAAGGTTCGGTGATCATTTTGATATTAAGAAAAAGATAAGTATAAAAGAGATATATTTACATAAAAATGTTCAGCGATAGAAAGAATCACTTAAACAAACTTTTAAAACGTTTTGATCATTGAGGAAAGAAAGCTTCAGTGATAGTTTTAAGTTTTAAAGAACAAGAACAAGTATACATACCTTAGAGAGAATAAATACATTTACTCGAGAGTTCAGTGATAGAGATAGAACAGTGAATCATTTCACTTACTGATTGATGCGTGTAGCTGAAAAAGATTATTCTTCAGCGTTTAGCATTCCCAGTTCGCTGATCAAGATGTTAAATCTTGTCTCATCAAGAGGCTTGGTGAAAAAGTCAGCGAGTTTTTTTATGATTTTAGTCAAGAACACCAAAACTTTTCAGAAATCACAAATTTCATCAGATCTTTAAAAACAGATGTTCAAATCACGAAAACATGTGAATAACAAAGATTCACGAACCAAATACGCACACAACTATCATCATTTTAACATTTAAACACCGAAAAATGAAAGATTTGAGAAGAAAATTATGAAAAACTTGAAGAACACTTCAAGAACAATATATGAAGGTGAAGAACAAAAATGATTTTCCATAAATTATGCATTTTTGATGATTTTCTTCCAAGGATTTCATTACAAATCCGCTCTGATACCAATTGTGTGTCCGTTTCTATGATCAATCTTCAATAACATCAAGAACAATGGCAATCTTCATAAGAACACTTGAGAGAAAAAGTCAAACTGGTCAATATGGTTTATTCCTCTCAATTATACGTAATGTTTACAATAAGCTCTCTCTCTCTCTCTCTCTATCTCTCTATCTCTTTCTCTTTTTCTAAAATCCTTTACAAGACCTATTTATAGGTCAAACTATAAAAGCACATGTCAAAGTCAAACAATGACTTACAAAGTCAAACATTCTACAAATACAAATATAAACCTTCAAGACGAATACATTTAAGATCTAAAAATCAATCCTAATAAAAGTTCAATATCATCATTCATAACATGATCTTTGATAAAATCATATCTGATCTCTATATGTTTGGTCTTTGAGTGAAGTACAGGGTCGTTTGCAATTACAATAGCACTAGTGTTATCACAATAGATAGGAATCTTTAAGAATTGAAGATCGTATTCATTCAGCTGGTTTTTCATCCAAAAGACTTGTAGATCCCACTTTAAACAATCTTCATGAAAGCTTCAAATCATCAATGGCAGATCTGTATATATCTAATAAGAACATATGAGAGTAGAGAGAAAAGGTCAACACCCAAATCTTGGTCAAACCTTTATTACATAAATCTGATTTTACAATTGAGAATCCTACTAAAATTACAAAGAAAATACCCTTTATATAGGGTCAAACATAGAGACAAAGTCAAAGTCAAACTATTCTATGAAAAGTCAAACACGATGACTTTTATACAATTATAGACAAAATTAAGTTTCAAGAAGAATATAATTTTACACTGATTTTCAGTCCTAACATTCGCCCCTTTGTATTTAGACTTGAAATAATTTCCACGCTTTGAGTCTCGTTTGAACTTTGTAGTTTTAAGCACTTTATGTCTTCTTCAAACAATCTCCAACTTAAAATCTTCAGACAATCATTTCTTGAGAAAGATCTTCTAACATTCTCCCCCTCGAATGTAGAACAGTGATGATCTTCTCTTTTGACCATATAGATCAGAAACAATAACGATCTTCGGAATTGATCTTCAGCAAACTGTTGTAAAATTGATCTTCACATTCAACAACTCTCAGACATTGTAGCACCGGAATAATTTTCTATGATAATCTCCAGTCGCACCCCTTTTGAGTCTTTTGCCAATTTTGATGTTACTCCTCCTTGATCTTTACAACAAATTCCCTTTATAATGTTTGGAATTGGACATTTCATTCATTATTACATACTCCCCCTTATGATAAATGAGAATCATGACATCATACACAAGAATGAATGAAATTTCCCACGAAAGTCGTCAATTCATGAAATTGTAAGTAGATCTTTTTGTTAGACCCCATAACTTATAAGTGTAAAAGTAATGAAGAACAACAAGTGATGAAGAACAGAAGACCGATGAAGACGATAAGGCAATAATTACTAAGTCTGAAGAACAATTAGAGGATCGATGAACAACCAGAGATGCGATGGAAAGAGCATCTTCATCACCCCTCTGGTCAACAACACTTAGAGTTTTCTTCAGCAATTCAACCAGAGGCATATGATGAAGAACTGAAGATAAGGTTGAGTCATCATCCCATGAAAGACAGCTGGAGATGACAAATCGACAGCTGGTTTTCAAGTTTATCTCGATTTATAGTTTATCCATAGTTTAGATAAACTTTATCCGTTAGTAGAAGATTAGCTAAATAGTCTCACTAGATAGT